AGTAGTTAAGCCTAATTTCGCGAATATGCGGATGGTTTTTGAGTATATTCTTCTAGAGGAAATCAAGTAGATCATTTCTAGAAAAAACCAAACTCAATACTCAAATTCTATCGGGAGAAAAAAGCCGCGAAAAAATCCGCAATAATTATGCATCAACCTAATACAAAGGTTGTGAGTTATAGACAAAACCCAGGACCTCGGGCGGCTCTCGAATCCTGACCTGTACTATCTAACGACCTGATCCTACTCTTTACATTAGCGAGACCCATGGCAGCTCGAAGAAACAGCTCAATTACTGTCTATTCACCAGCCCATACATATGTATTGACATTGATTGGATCAAAAGGATTGTAAAATAATTTGAGAGATGGGGGAGAGGGGTGGGATCAAGTCAGGCTTTCTTCATCTTCCGTCCGGACTGACATTACTTTGAATAGTGATAACAGCCATCGGCAATGTTTATTCATAAATAACAGTGACGTATACCGGATTGTGGTGGCCTCAAACGAACTCTTTTAGACGCTCTCTCACTAAGAGAGCGCAGACGCACAGATGATGAGCGTGGCGGGACTAACCCCTCCTCCTTTCTCCAACCACAGAGCGCCCAAAAAACGGATTATTATGCTACTAACGATGGCCATTACGCTATCGTAACATAAGTATGGGTGCACTACTGGTTTAGCACATTTTAGTAAAGCGACTAGGCACAATGTTGCAGAATTGATCAATGAACGTAAACAACAAAAGACATAAATGGAGTGTGATCGATACTCTGATCAGAGGAATGTGAATCGGAACTTATTGATGGCGCTGAACGTCAGCATGTCACATTTACGGGTGTCCTGTATGTCCTATTTGCGTTGATGTCCTGTGCCCAAGTTTTCGACCAACCATTGACGGACGATGTGGACCCATACGCATGCGGAGGTTGTGATTGTAGCCCCACTGAAAAAAATTTGCAATATTCAAGCGGTTCATATAGAAAAAATATATAAAATGGAACTGAAAACGTAATTGGAACATTACGAATGCCATTAGATAGAAACTCTAAAGATTGACGATTTGTGGGCAAAGCTTCGGCCTTGGACGGGACTCTAACCTGTACTCGTGCTTACGGGGCACCGTGCTCTTTATCCTTCCACTACCGAGACCCCGCTTGCTCTCGATAGAATTGTTGTTTTATCAGTTGAAAGGAGGCAGGGCTAGGAGCCAGCGGATGTGCTGACCACTGAATGAGGATAAAGACTTCTAGCTTC